TATTATTGTGAGGAAACTATTGCAGAATAGGAAGCAATGAAGCAACATTTGATAATGTTTAGTTTGTGTACATTTATGAACTCTAGTTAATATAATATATCTAGTTTATATAAATGACAAAACCCCTTGTTGTTTATATCACTATTGCATAATATAACCCTTGACCCTGTTTTATTGAGAATAATCCTTATCTGGTGACTAGACCCTATTTGTTTACACCTAAGGCATAAACAAGTGACAAGGAGCTATATAAAAGCCAGGGTGTAGGTAGTAACAGGATTTAGTCCTGAATCAACCATCTTAGTGAACAGGTCTAGTATTACTTTATAAATCAGTTATATTATTCTTACAAATTGCTTCTATATATGCCTTCCCTCAATTCTACATCTCTTCTGAGTGGCTTACTCCTAATTTGATTCTATTTGGACCAGTGACCAGTACTTACCTCGCAGATTGATTTTTATGATTAATTTTAATGTTTTATTCCTTTCATGAAATTTTCCAGTCTTAAGAGAGTCTCAAGTTTGTCCACAAAATACAAACCTTTAGAATGAGTTTAGTATTGAAATATACCAATGTATTAAAGAAAGATGAGAGTTAACATTTATTAAGTAAATTAGTTGCAATGTAACAGTACAGTGTAGTTCACAGTTGGAGATTAGAGACTGATGGAAAGGACTTATACAATTGTGAATAGCTCAAATTCTCACAATTACAATACAACCAAGTATATTCAATTAAGATGATTTTACTGAATATTTCATTAACTATTTCAAGTTGGCTCTAAGCAGTCTTGGTGACCAATTGTCTTAGAGTTAAGTACACTGCCCAGGGGTCATCTGTCTTGACCCAAAATTATGGAAAAACAATTTATAAATAAATATTTTTATTTTCTTATATTGAGATCATAGCAGTGTCATTCTCATTTAATGGAAAATGTTCTAATACTTGGAAAAAATATCATATGAGTGGGAAAAGACATCATACAGCTAAGAAAAATTTTTGTTTTAAAAATATATTAAATAGTGAAAAGCTAAGAACTTCTAATAAGGTTTAAAAGCTACTTGAAAAAGAGAGAAACAAGATTTATTAAGACATAGAATTATTTTATATAGATTAATGTAATCTTCTGTAGGTGGAGAGCATAAGTAATCACTCCCAAAATGGTATAAAGCATTACTAGTCACTTTATATCTGAGTTTGTAAAAAATTGAACTATTTTCTGTTTTTCTCAAGTATATTTTAATAGTTTATTTACCTAATAAATTAAGCCTAAAATGTTATGAAAATTTTGGCATTACAAGATGAAAAAGAAAATACCTACTCAAAGCAGCAAAAACTAATTTTGTAACAAAAACAATACGTCTTGACAATTTTCAAAAGTTTATTACGCAAATTAGTTAATAAGCAAGCATGAAACAATTATTTTTCTATTAGAATGATTGACATAATTTTAATTTAAAAACTCTGTCACAAATTTTTTGAATGAATAAACCAAGATTCTTAATATCATCTCTTTCAAATGAATGATTTGAATGAATTAGTTGTGAAGAAATTAAATAATTTTCAGCTTTTTGCTAAAAGAAAATTTTATTTAGAGAAAAATTTAAATAAAAATATTTGAAATAAACAAAACTTGAGAAAGAAGAATAGTTGGAAAATTTTTGAAACTTAATGAATTTTGATGAGCTGCAACTATAGCCATTGTTATATCTTTAATACATTTTAAGTATTTTAAATTAGTGAAAATTTTTGCATCTATGAACAGGCTCTTATAAGAGTTGATATTTTCTTTAAAAATGCAATGCCTATTTGAAAATTCCATGCAAGATCGAACTAAAACCAAAAGAAAGGAAAATTTAATGCTAAAAATTTGTTCTTTAAATTTTTGAAAAAAGACTACATTTAATATGATTGTTTTTCTTGATTACTTGCTCCAATGTAGTGCTTTTCTTAAATAAAGATTTTAATAGTAAAAACAAATAATATAAAATACTAGAAATTTAGAAAAAAGCTTATTTGTACATTTTATCTTCCTTAGTCCTATTTTTCAAATTGTATAGAGTTACTTCAGAAAAAGTGTAAATTAGAGGATTTAATATAGAATTAAGTGGACAAAAGAACACAATGATAGCGCTATAAATATCTTGATTTATAACTAGATGTTGAAAGAATATCTACCTTTCAAAAAAGCATGAGATTACTTCATCAGAAGTTCTAGTAAAGTGTTCTGAACTTTATTTAATAGCTCAATAAATAAATCAATTGTTGTTAAATTGCATGATCTTTTAAGTTGTAGTCTCATAATGTATTCAACTCTTCAAATAAACACACTTTCAAAATTTAATTCATTTCTTGTTTTATATATTTTAGGTTGAAGAATCCTGTGGCTGTTTTCTGTCTCAGTTGGGGCCGTTTTCTGTTCCAGTTGGGGCCGTTTTCTGTTGATTTGTGGCCGTTTTCTGTCGTATTCTTTACATCTTATGCAACTCTCCAACCTGAGAAATACAACTATTATTCAAAAGAAGAAAACAATAAAAGGATGAGCATATTTACAACTTTTCTTTGTCTTCATATATTACTTTTGTTTTTGTGAACATTGAATTTAGTCAACTATCAACCTTTAAAAGAGTAAATTAACAGTTGATAGTTCACTTCTCTCACTGTCAGATGGTTGCTTAAACTTGCCTAAAGCTCATTTTACTCAATACATATTCTTTTGATGAAATATTGGTATTTTGTTGATTAATTTCTACCGAAATAACGTTTATTATTTATGTATAAACTAATCCAAGTTTCCCCCTCTGTTTAGATAGTTTATCAATTTTTAATTACAATAGAAAACTAATTGAGAATTGTCCCCAAAGAACTTTTCCTGAATATGAGTGCCTCTTTTCAAGTGAAAGTATATACTTGTTAATATATTGTATTAAAAAAAAAGATAGCCATTGATTTGCAGTTAGGGGCATACCATCTCAGGGTTAGGGCTATTCAGAGTGGTTAGGCAAACCCACTGGCTAGGTTAGGGTTAGGGTAAGAGCACAGTTTTGTGGACGTTTTCCATGACAGCCTCTTTAATGGATCTTCAAGAAAATTTTCGGTTGTTAAGACTTACACTTTAGTTCATCAAACATAGTTTGGATTATTTATATGTATGGCGTCCTTTAGAATAGAAGAGAGAAGCTACTGAGTTTATTCTGTGTTTATTCTTGTTAATAAATTACTTATAATTTGTATATACTATGGATAAAATATAAATGTTACTATGGCAACAGTGTAATGTAATGAAAATGATGGAATTGTTCTTTAATAGAAGATAAATATGTAATTTCTTTAATTTTATGCCTAATTGCTGAGAAATAACACCAAAAAGTAAGCAAAAAAATGTTGTTTTCCAAATCATATAAAAATACCAAAAACATTGAAAAAATTATAATTTTAATGTATTTTTCATAGTATTATTGATAAAGAAAAAAAGAGGGGAAAAAACTGATTAATTTTCCAAAGACTTTGTAACTAATTCAAAATGTAAATAATTAAAGAATTATCTTTGCATGCAGGACAATAAATTCGAAAAGAGTTTTTGTTTACAAAATTTATAGAGATCTTTGAATGAATTTTACTGTATATGATAATTTCAATACAGAATATGTTAAATAATTCTAGAGAGATCGATTTACATGGGCTTTTTTAATACATTCAATCAACTCTTGTCACTGAAAATGAAAATGTCTATCCTCAATTTTATCTATAATATGACTTTTGTATTGATCTTTAGAAAGTGTATCATTGTTGGAGGAATTTCATCAAGTTAGTATGAATCCTATTTTTTCTCTCTTGTTTATATTAGATTTCATTTTTATTATCAACGTTAGGAGACAGTAAGCTAATTAATGTAGCCAGAAAATCCAATGGGGCAATGTGCACACGTTCTTCCACATTTCCAACTGCAAAGTATAACTTTGAGTGTGAATTTGCCCTGAAACCTTTCTGGATTGATTACAATGATTGGGCAGCTCTCTGCTCAAATGCAAATTGCAAGCAACATTGGATAGAGATTACTTTTACAAAGATCTATGATGTAATAGAGTTTTGTACTACCCAGAGGTTAGTTGACCCTTCATCATTGATGACAGCCATTAAAGTTACCATGGGAACTAATCCAACCCGGATTTATCACATTAACATTTTAACAACATGTTTGTTGCTTGAAGATGGCGATGGATCTAGTTCATCTAAGGCAAAATTTGAAGCAGAGTCCTATATGTCTGGAAATACAAGAAATATTGGGTTTAATGATATATCTATTTTTGCACTAGAGAATGAAAATGGTAGGAGAATATTGTGAAAAAAATAAATATTCCTATTGATTATTGTCTAATCCTATTGATTTACCTTTATTTATCAAACTTTTCAATAGTACACAACGGAGATAAACTTACAAACACAGCTTTTAAACATGTAGGAGCTAGCTGTAGTGCATCAAGTTCAAGGTCAACTTTTGAATGTAGCGAAGCACTAGACCGAGACATAACTAAAACCTGGAGTCCAAATTGTGATGTGAGTGACTCATTGAAAGGGTCGTGTGTAAATCATTATATTGATGTAGCATTAGCATTCCCTGCAGAACCAAAACTACTATGCATATCAAATGGGTATTTTATCATTATCAATATCATACTATACATTTTTAATGTTATATCCACCATTTTTATACTTTTAAAAACAGACACCAATTTACAAATAGAATTAAGACTGTTAGAGTTGAATGGAGTTCAGGATTTAATCAGACAGTAAATCTTCCAAATGCTGACCAGATACATTGCTTTAATTATACAAATTCTTTTGGAATGGAACATGGACTAAAACTTACCATTATGGATGTTTACATTGACAAAAATGTTGGATTTCAATATGTGAGTGTTTTTGTAAAAGGTAAGATTAATATTAGGATAAAAGGTCAAGGTTAAAGTTTAATAAAATAATCTCTCTATATAGATTCTTCAAAATTGATATATTTAATTCAGTCAGAAAACTTTGTTGTCTATCATCTATCACCTTATGTTTACCAGAATTTTAGGGCTATAAAATTTCAAATTTTAGGTGTAAATCTAGGTCAAACAGATGATTGTTCATCTTTTATAATTGCCTTTAAAAGTGAAACATCAATCCAATTGACTATAAAGCTCAATGAAATTATAAACAACAACAAAATTTCATCAATGGAAGTAACTAATCAACCTTCAATACAAATAAGTTCTTTACCATTGTTTAGTTGTGATGATTGGAAAAGTTTCTGGCTAGAAATGTCAGAAAGTCATATAACATTTGGTTTGGGTATGGAATATGGTATTTCTAGATTGGCAACTATCTCATCAGCCATATCTATCAAACCAAGACAAATCTTGTTTAAAAATGGTTTGTCAAATATAAAAAATGGAGTGAGGGTTGTTGATGAAGGTATACAAATATTATAATGATAGTTTGTAAACCTACATTTTACTGTATTTTTTTTACAGATGGAATAAAACTGGAAAACTTTTATCACGACTGCACTAATAATGAATATTATAAAGCAATTGATCCACATATTTATACATGCACACCACTAAAGGAAAGAAACAGTCTCTTTCATTACAAACTGTCAAATGGAAATGGCTTTAGAAGCAATAGTACTTTTTCTAAAGTTGTATTAAAAAAAACTGATACTCTTTTGGGAGATTTTAATGTTAATATCTTCATCAAGTTGGATAATGCTGATGGCAAGTTATGTAAACAGCAGCAGACAATGATTGAGAAAAATTCCTATTTTCATTTTCCATTTGAATGTGAAGCAAGAAGCAATAAAGGATTAGATAATTTACATATTCTTATACATATATATGAGTTGTCAGACATTCCAAAATTGTCTCTGTGTGATATATCAGTAGATTTTTAATCTTTAAAATAAGACACAAAATTTCAATCTCCATCTACAGTTGATTGTATTATGCTGTTCTTGAATAAAATGGTTCACAAGATCTAATTTACATATCAATCAGTGTCTGATCAAACTAATTATCTTGCATAAAGTATTTTCTCTACTCTAACACAAGCTTTAAAAAATGTTTTTTTGCATTACAAAATTGCTAATGCAGATTTTGTTTGCACCTGAATTTACCTCCAGAACACAGGTTTTTGCTTAAAAAGCTCACAACTGCATCAGCAACCCAACTGAAAAGGTCATTGGTATTTAAATTGAAACATCTTGAGACATGCAAACTTTAAAATTATCAAATATTTGTTATTTCATTGAGGTAAGATATAAGCAAATATAGTTTGTAGATATCAAGTTGTCTTTCAGCTAGTTTCAGAATGTATCTGTATTGTGATTGTTGAAATTTTTGTGTGCTTCATATATATGACTCACTCAAAGCTTTTCTGTCACTAGTCCAAAGAAGTTAAAAAAATTTAATGTATACTCTCTGTAGGGAGTAAGTGAAACTTTACTTTTGCCAGAAGGCAGCTTCTGGTAGAAGTTAATCAATTTCAGACATAAGAAAAAAAGAACATTCTGGAAGAATAAGAGATTTTATTGAAACCTTTTATTCAAATTTTATTTCGGATTATCCAAACTGTTAAAAATTGAGTAATATTTGTCTATGCAAAAAAACAAATTTAACAAAAATATCAAATTTCCAGGAGTGTTTTGCCATAATTAACAACACTAATAATCCTTTTAGGATGAATATTTAGCAAATGCATTATTCAATATTACTAATGTATAGAAAGTTAGCTTTTTGTATTATGTCCTTACTACTGGTGTCAGTAAATAGGCCTATGTTAATCTTTAAGATGTATAAAGTTGTTTTTCTCTCTGACAAGTCGCCAGTGAAGATGAAAAACAAAACAAATAATAAACTACTTAATAATATGATAAATTAGCATAACATTAAGGTAAAGGTCAAGCTTAATGCAAATAGTAGATGTTATCCAGTTTAACTGTTGCTGTTATTGGTAGCATGTATTTTCAATTTACAACAATTTTTCAAAATAAGTTTTATATGAGAATTACTGATGAGTACTATAAGTGAATTAGTAATAGTTGGAAAAAGTATAATATATTGCATAATAATCAATTTTTTGAATGAAACATATACATTTAGCGATATAGTACTAAAAATACCAATATAGCATATCCATAATAGGATAACCAAGATTAATTTACAAAATGTTGCCTTAGAAGATTTAGAGATGGATTGAGAAGATTGTAATTGATTTTCCATAGATCTTGCATGCTTTTTAGCCAATTTTAATGTGAGAAAGTGAAATGTTACAGATGGTAGAATTGGACCAAAGAAAAAGAATAAAAATACAATAAAAGAATCAATATCTACTGAAATGTAACCATAGCAGATTGTTGATTTCTTATAAGGCTTTATGATAGAATAGAGAGAGACCAAAAAACCAAAGATATTTATAAGAATTGTTATTAATATCTTATTCTTTGAATGACAATAATAGTTGTACTTAAAAGGAAATTTTATTGACAAATATCTGCTAACAAATAGGCCTAGAAAGTTGATCTGAGAAAGAATATTTCCTACACCAGGAATTACTATTGAGATAATACATAGAGTTGGAGTAGGGTTAAAAAGTCTTCCCAAAAGATAAAGTATATTTCCAAGTAGAAATATTATGAGTAATAAAAGATGATTCAGCATAAGGAAAAAAATAAAATATCCACAGGATTCTCTAACAGACTCAAATTTTAAAAAAAGAAAAATAACTATTGCTGTTAGTGTTAATCCAGAAATTATAATTGTATAAGATATGATATGTAGAATGATGTTTTCCATTTCATCTAAATCATATTTAATAGAAAATCCAGCTAAAGTTAAATTCATAGTATCTTGACAATTGCCATATATAGATAGACCACAAGTTATACCAGTCAATATATATATATATATACATATTATCCATGATTTAATTTTGATCAAAAGAAGTTTATTTTAAATATTAAAGAATATGTTAAAAGCTTTCTGTTTGCTTTAGTGTATGATAGAGCATTGAGTAGTTTAGGCACATATTAAGCATTACAAACACATATATAGATATAAATTCTTGATATATATTTAAAAAAAAGCTTTTAAAAAGAAGATGATGTTAAGAATAGGATAAAAAATGATTTAAAAAAATTGATTGAAAATACGTTATACATTGAAGGAAATATCTAGATTTCAAGAGAATATCTTTTCTATCTGTTAATAACAGGATATATTCTTTAAGTAGTCTCGCTCTCTCGCTCTTCTGAAAAAATTGAAAATGAAACATCAATTTTGAAAAGTGATCTAAAATATGAATTTTTGATTTGAAATGTTAGAAGAATTTAAATGATTTTATGGCTTCTTCTCAATAATTTTTTATACTTCTTATTCTACTTTAAATGGTTAATATATTTAGTAGTAGAATCATTAAACAACAACAGAAATATATTGCTTTAATTATTCAAATGAGAAAAAAACTTGACCTTAACTATAGTGTCTGTAATGAGTAGTGTCAAACTTATAGATCATTTTTTCAATATAAGAGAAGTTAAGATCAAAAAACAAAAAAATTTTGTAGTTTGAACTATTTTAGGCATAGATAAAAAAAATGATATTATGACTTTTCTTTTATGGCAAAGAATACATTGGCAAAATGAGCCAACAAGCTGGTACATCTATGTTCTAATCATCTAATTCTATCTTCAATGACAATTGATGGAAGTCGATGTGGGGATAATTCAGTTGGGGACAATTTAGCCACTTTTGTTTATCTTAATGAGTGGGGAAAAAAAAGAAACGCTACTTGGAAGTTTTAAGAGTGAGTAATTCAAAAAATTTGCTAAAATAAAACAAAAAATTATTCTGCTCTTTAAGGAAGTAGAAAGTGTTATGAAGAAGAAAAAACTGCACAATTTTGTATTGGACCTTGAGGTAGGCTTGTGGAAAGCAGTTACTCAAGTTTTTCCTGAAGCCAATTCACAACTGTGCTCTTAGAAGTAGCTTATATCAAGATTATTTAAGGATAAAAGGCAATTGGGACAATTATTTTTGCAAATTGTAAACATTCAATTATAAATTGTTAAAATAATAGAATCATCTATTAAATGGGCTTAAACATTTAAATATGACAAACTTAGGATGGTGAAGGCTGCACAGCTGTTTTTAATGTTCACATAGAACCAGTACTGTTGTCTGTAAATGAATAAATTGGCAAGACCAGAGCAGTCCAATTGTATAACAATAACTAGTCCAATAAGAAACAAAAACATTTTTTTTTCACCTCACCCTAATTGGAACCCTTACCTAACAAGGACATAAGAAGAGGGATTTGATAACAAGGGAGGAAAAGTTGGAACTAACCTTTTCCCAAATAATTGAATAAGAGTGACCCTAATCTTTATCCAAATGAGCATAATTTTCATTTCTTTTAACTTGTTTGAACTTTTGGGAAAACATTTTCTAAATATTTCCTAGAGCAATAGTGTAAGCAAATATGTTGTCTTATTATTATATTAAAATTTCCAGCTAAGATTTTGGCTGTAAAACTGGAATATTCTCTGAATTTTCTTTTTCCTGTTCAACTTGTATTTGCAATAAAACCAAGTTTTTAAACTAGACAATAACTATGGTAGAATAGAACTGATAAATGTATGTGTATGGTTTTTCTTTGAAAAATCTTAATATTGGAATTAAGGAATTAAATCAACTAATCTCTATAAAAAACTACAGTAGTAATTTCACTTTTAATGTTTCTCTGATATAATTAGCTAGTTCATCATTTAGTTCACAGTAACAAAAATTAATTATTTTCAAAGTATTTGAAGAAGATTTGAGTCCATCACATATTTCTTTAAATCCATTTGCCATATCTTTATTACCAGACAAATCAATATCTTCAAGTGTTGAACACTCTTTAAACATTTCTCCCAGAAATTTAGCTTGTTCATCATTTAATTCACAGCTATCAAAACTAATTATTTTCAAAGTGTTTGAAGAAGATTTGAGTCCATCACATATTTCTTTAAATCCATTTCCCATGCTGCTATTAAAAGAGAGATCAATATCTTCAAGTGTTGAACACTCTTTAAATGTTTTTCCCAAACATTTAGCTAGTTCATCATTTAATGCACAGTAACAAAAACTAATTATTTTCAAAATGTTTGAAGAAGATTTGAGTCCATCACATATTATTTTAAATCCATTTGCCATATCTTTATTACAGGACAAATTAATATATTCAAGTGTTGAACACTCTTTAACTGTTTCTCCTAGACATTTTGCCTGTTCATCATTTAATGCACATCTACAGAACCTAATTATTTTCAAAGTGTTTGAAGAAGATTTGAGTCCATCACATATTACTTTAAATCCATTTGCCATATTGTTGTTGTCAGAGAAATTAATATTTTCAAGTGTTGAGCACTCTTTCAATGTTTCTCCAAAACATTTAGCTTGTTCATCATTTAATTCATAGCAAAACCTAATTATTTTCAAAGTATTTGAAGACGATTTGAGTCCATCACATATTACTTTAAATCCATTTGCCATATTTTCATTGCAGGACAAATCAATATCTTCAAGTGTTGAGCACTCTTTAAACATTTCTCCCAGAAATTTAGCTTCTTCATCATTTAATGAACATCTACAAAACCTAATTATTTTCAAAGTATTCGAAGAAGATTTGAGTCCATCACATATTACTTTAAATCCATTTGCCATATTTTCATTACAGGACAAATCAATATCTTCAAGTGTTGAGCACTCTTTAAACATTTCTCCCAGAAATTTAGCTTGTTCATCATTTAATTCACAGCTATCAAAACTAATTATTTTCAAAGTGTTTGAAGAAGATTTGAGTCCATCACATATTTCTTTAAATCCATTTCCCATTCTGCTATTGCAAGAGAGATTAATTTCTTCAAGTGTTGAGCATTCTTTCAATGTTTCTCCCAAACATTTAGCTT